CCTTCAGGCTTTAGAAAAGAAGAGGTAAGTCAAAATCAATAATAGCCGCCGGGTTTAGACCGGTGGCCCGCCCTGGCGGAAAATAGACATTTTCCTATTTAAGAAGTTATTATATTATTATAATGATTTTATCTCTATTAATTACACCTATTTTAGGTGTTATTGGTGTTATTCTTTGTGGAGAAAATACATCTTTACAAAAAAAGGTAGCTTTGGCTAGTTCATTATTAACATTTATTTTATCTTTAGTTCTTTGGGCTGGATTTGATAATAATTATAATGGATTCCAATTTGTAAGTTCTTTTCCTACAATTACAACAAGAGAAGTAATTGGAGTAGATGGTATTTCTTTATTCTTTGTTTTATTAACAACATTTATTATTCCTACTTGTCTTTTAGCGAGTTGGGATAGTATTAAAACAGGAGTGAAATACTTTTTAATTGCTTTCTTAATTTTAGAAACTTTATTAATTGCAGTTTTCGTTGTTTTAGATTTATTATTATTCTATATTTGTTTCGAAAGTGTTTTAATTCCAATGTTCTTAATTATTGGTATTTGGGGTGCTAGAGAAAGAAAAATTCACGCAGCTTATCAATTCTTCCTATATACTTTATTAGGTTCTTTATTTATGTTATTAGCTATTTTAGTGATTTACTTTGAAGTAGGTTCTACAGATTATCAAGTATTAGCTGTAGCTGAAATTAGTGAGACTCGACAAAGAATCTTATGGTTAGGGTTCTTCTTATCTTTTGCAGTTAAAGTTCCTATGATTCCATTCCATATTTGGTTACCTGAAGCTCACGTTGAAGCGAGTTTAGCTGGATCCATTATTCTAGCTGGTATTTTACTGAAATTAGCAGGATATGGTTTCTTAAGATATTCTATTGGTGTATTACCAGATGCTTCTGTATTCTTTACTCCTTTAGTTTATTCATTAAGTGTTATTAGTATTATCTATTCATCCTTTACAACTCTAAGACAAATTGATCTAAAGAAAATTATTGCTTATTCTTCTGTAGGTCATATGAATATTGTAAATTTAGGTATTTTCTCTAATACAATTCAAGGTATTGA